TATGCCCGTTAGGACAAATATGAATTGTTTGTCTTTTGGAACATCATTACTGGTTTTCATTGGGTAAAATATGAGTACCATGAAATCATTCTTGCCCTAGATCTAGCTTCTTTCATAATAAAGTCTCCTTTTTTTGCTCTTCCCATCCAAAACCCACATCGATTAATTATTTCCTGGATCATGGGAAGCTTGTAATATGGAGCCGGTGCAGATGCACAGCGAGATTTTGGGGCATCTGGAGTTAGATGCCGACTCGTGCCAGGAATACTGCTTGAGTCTGGCCCGCATGTTCAAACCGACCGTATGAAATGATATCAATTGTAGTTGGTTTATTGAATACAAACGTGGCTGCTTTCGGCTCAGGTCATTCCTAGCCAGATTGAAAAGTTCAGTGTCAAGGGTTTTCCCAACCATGAAAAAAATTCAAACCTATCCAACACACGATGGGAGGGAGGCGTGTGGTGCATGTGGGTTGTTGAACCCCACTGCAGTCAGCATGGTTCGTTGGTGTCCCTTTGTCTGAGTCACTTTCACCGCAATATTTGTTTTCCTGTGGAGATTGCCACAGTACTTGAGTATGTAGTCGTTCTGGATGAAAGGTCTAACAGGAATTTAATGTTAATACGCGTCTCCGTCTGGCCTAACCATTACTTGTATCTTGTTTTTTCTGATCTCTTTAATTATCCTATTTTATTTGTCCGAAAAGAGATGAGGCCGAGACAATGGATAAAAAGCAGATTTTGGAGTTTTATCTAGTCTGACTAAAGGAATATTACACAATTTACTGAGTGCTTGAACTCTCAGTAATATCTGGTTGTTTTCTGGAACAAAAAAGGGTAGATTTGCAATGCACTTCTCAGCATCCAATGTGAAAAATGGACAGTCTGCTCCATCTCTTAACATGAGCTGCTAAACCAAGTCAATAAAGACCGCTCAACCTTTTGGACACTCAACAAGCAGTCCGTGTTACTATTTCCCACAGAAAAACATTTTAATACAACATAATAAAAACAAAGCTTAATATTTCTTGATGTATGATGAGCTTAAACAATGGGACAGAATTATAATTATGATTATTGCAGGCAATGATATAACACAATATTATTAATATTTTAACAAGCTAGTAAGTAGCCCCAAGATCCGACATGACAGTATGACGTTTTTGGTCTTTTCCCAGCGCAACTTTGAACAATCCTGCATATATGAACCTTTAAATAACCAATTTTTTAAAACCTCACTGGGCTTTGGTGCTAAATTTCGGATGAACTGTTTCCACTGGTTTGTAAATCTCAACATTTAAATGCTTTGGCGAAAGCAACAGTAACTTTGAACATTGATTATAACGAGAATAGATTTGATGCACTGTGATAGGCAATAATAGAAGAAGCCCATTTTAATTCAAAAAATGTTTGGGGTTATTGTGAATTTGAGGTGGAAAATTGTATGCCACCATAAACAGAAAATATTCCAAAACAGGAAAGAAAACATCATGAAGTAGAGAGATTTATAAATCAGATCTATGAAAGGAAAATTAGACTCTAGTGCACATGTGTCAAACTTAAGGCCCGGGGGCCAAATCAGGCCCTTGGTGGATTTCATTTCGGCCCGCAGGATAATTTCTAATTACTATTAGATCTGGCCCGCCGGTATATTGCACGCACACCTTCACTCCATCCTGAGGGTTTCCTCAGCTCAGAGCCTGAGCCCAAACATTGATGAACCCAAGATGAGATGCCAAGTATCTGCTTGAACTAGCATCAGAGCAGCAAACTGAGTTTACATGGACTTTGTTTCTTGAGACAACAGGGCATGTTTGTTTTTTTCTTTAAAGGAAATTGTTTTTTTGAAGCTGTTGTTGGCCTGTGGAAAAATGTAATCATAAGAAATGACTCTGGAAAAGCTGCAGATAGAGCCATAAGAAATTAATGCAACTGATTATTTAATGTTTAATGTTATTTTTATAGGCAATAGTTTAAGCTTTGTTAGTTCAGGTTTAATATGTGCAATAATTTCATTTCAATAAGCTCTGCAATAAACATTGAACCAGTCCGGCCCTCGACGAGTACCCATTTTTTTATGTTGGCCCTCTGTGTATTTGAGTTTGACAGTCTAGTGCAACAACAATACCCACTTTGCTGTGTTGGTGCAACAAGTGATTTCAGTAGTTAAATGCTCATGTTACTGCTTTGTTTGTTGACACATGACACTTGCTTGACTAATCACAAATGAAAGCACTGCCTTCACCCCGTGACCGTAGCTGGAAATTGGAATAAGTATTTACTCCTGAACAGAGCTACATTTTAGTTTCGGGAATGAGGAGAAGAGCGGAACCTGTGACAAGCAATAGTTTCATAAGAAATACTTAATCGCTTTATAGCAAATTAGCTAGCTTAGCATAAATAGGGTGTTGTAAAAGGGGGTATCAACAGCTAGCCTGGTTCTGTCAGGTTGAAAACATTTTCCCGACCAGCACCTGCTTTGGACAGATTTGTTTACTGTCTTTAAGCCACACTGATCGACTTCTAGCTGTAGCTTCATGTAACAGACAGATAAGAGTCAGAGTGTTTTACTTTTGGCAACAAGGCAGAAAAAGTTAAATCTATGACAAGCAATAGTTTTACAAGAAAAACATTTACTTTCTTGCCAAGGGGTGAAAAGATTAATACCTCTATCTGTAAATATCAAGAAACACCTAGCAGCCAGATAGCTCAGCTAAGCATAAATAAAACTTAAAAAATGGGAAAACAGCTAGTCTTGCTCTGTCTGTAAGTTGAAGATGCCACGTTGGAGTGAACCATGTCCTGTTTACTGTCTTTATGCTAAGCTAATCGACTGCTAGCTGTTGCTTCATTTAACTGACAGATATAAGACTCAGTGCTATTGATTTTCTCATCCAACTCTTAGTAAGAATTCAATACTATTTCCTAAAGGTCTATTCCTTCAAGTTGCTTGTTGCCGAGTTCCTGCTGTAGGAAAAGTATGTTTAAGTGTTAACCTTTATATATACAGTCTATGGTGTTAACCCCTTCTTGATTAAAGCTCCACAGCAAAGCAGCAGCTACACCGTTACAGGCACCAAGCCATGCAGAGGATTTGACATTTGTAAGGCAAGTGGCCGGATCTAAAGCCCATGTTAGTCAACCGTGTTAGCATGTATAATATCACACCTCCCTGGGTTACAGGAGGACCCTCACACAATGTAAATATGTCGGAAATGTGATGCGTTAATATTTCATGCAGTTCATGTGACACAGGACACATCCTCTGAATCCTCTCAAGTGGTTTTGCTGAATACAAATTGAGTTGAGGTGAATGTGTTCATGTAGCTTGTTTTGGAAGATTTTGCAGAGTAGTAATCTGTAATAAATCTCCCATCTATTGATCCACCTGCAGCTACAGTCCCTCATTATGTCCACCTGCAGAGCGAATATAAATGTCAGCCTTTTTCTCTGGTTCATCCAGCCATTACCACCAGTCTTCACCCAAAGATTCTCCATTAGCAGAGCTGGGAAGTAGTGGAGTACAAATACTTTGTGACTGTACATTTTGTTGGTATCAGTACTTTACTCCACGACTTTTTACTTTTACTTCTTACTATGTTGAACACAAATACCTGTACTTTCTACTTCTCACATTTTCCAAACAGGCTGGTTCCTTTAGTTTGAATGTGTGTTTGGTGGCGTGATCATTATTATTTAGAGTCATTGCGTGCCTATTGATTTGAACACGATCCGTGTATCCATCATTTCCTGGTCTTCTCTAAAGAAGAGGGACCAATGAAAACGTTGTCATGTTGCCGTTGTTCAGCATGGAAACATTCATTAGCTAACAATGACATTATTGTTCTATTAATATAAAGGGAGGTCAGGTACTCTTTAAAACAGCTGCTAGTTATGGGTACTTTTTACTTAAGTACATTTCAAAGCCCATACTTCTTTACTTTTACTCGAGTAAAGAGGTTTAGTCAGTACTTCTATAGTATTTTTGAACAAGAGTATCTGTACTTCTACTAGAGTAAAGGATGTGTGTGCTTTTGCAATCTCTGCATTCAGGTGTGAGGAAATATGGGAAAGACTTCCAGGCCATCGCTGACGTCATCGGTAACAAGACGGTGGGCCAGGTGAAGAACTTCTTCGTGAACTACCGGCGGCGGTTCAACCTGGACGAGGTGCTTCAGGAGTGGGAGGCGGAGCAGGGAACGCACGCTCCCAACGGAGACAGTGCCACCTCTGGAGAGGAGGGGAAGACCAGCTCCACCCCCCCGTCAGGGAAGAGCACCGACGAAGAAGACGAAGAGGTGAGGAGGGTTTAAATGATATATATCCCATATTGAGCGCCTAATGGATCAATGATAATACCCACAATCCTGCTGATCTTCTTCAATCCATCTGCTTTTAGATTGACTTCTTTCACTCCAGATTTCACTTCACATTTGTTAATGAAAACTAACTTCTAGAGAGATTATTTACTGCAGTCAACATTACATCTAATTCCTTTTTTACGTTGTCCTCTGATTTTGAAAATAGCAATCAAAAAAGTGTATGGTGGTTCCGAAAGACTATATAGTACTGAAGTACATCAGTCTGCTGCTGAGAAGAAACTGTTTGAATGTAAAACAGACTTAATTCCCATCATCCATTTCACCATGCTCATGTTTTTTTGTTGCTTTCTGTTCATGAAATCGTGTATGAGCGATTGATTGGACAAATCAACCATAAAACCTGCAAGCAATTAATACAATTAATACATTTGTTTTAACTGAGGCAACATTTATTCTAGTGTATATCCTATCAATAAATACAACTACACAAATCTCTTTGGGCATTGAGAGATGAAAAGAGACTGATATAAATAGTTCTCATAAGTTTGAAGGGCTTAAAACTAGCAGATATTTCAAATATTTGTGACTTTAACTTTACCTATGGATCCTCATGCAAAGTCCCTGATGTTGTTAAGCTCTGCTCTAAGTGACAGTTTGAGATGATTGACATGTGATTGTTAACGATTGACAGTGAGGTATTTCTAACCCCGCCCTCTCTTCTCTCTGCAGGGTCAGGTGACCTCCTCAGGTGCGTCTCCTGCTGCCTCCTCTTCCTCCTCGGCTCAGATTCCCGTGACGTCCTCCTCCTCCTCTTCCTCCCTCCACCAGCCTCCTCCCCTCCTCAGGCCCTCTCTCCCCGCTACACCCTCCCTGCACCGCCAGCCTCCGCCCCTCCAACAACAGGCTCGATTCCTGCAGCCTCGTCCGACCCTCCAGCAGCCGCCGCCTCTAATCCGCCCGTCCAACCCTCTTCCTCCTCGTTTAAACCCTCGACCTCCAGCTCCCATGAGCCTCGGCGGTATTAACCCCGGCGGGTCGGGTCCAAGCTCCGCCCAGCAGCCCCCAGGCCTGGCCGTCCACCAATCAGAGGCCTCATCTTCCTCCCTCCACTGACGGTTTAACAGCTACAGACGACTGTGTGTGAATGTGTGTGAATGCTAGATTCCTTGAGCGGCAAAACAAGTTGATGAATGAATGACTTGTAGTTTGTAAAGCGCTTTGAGGGGTCGTACAGACTGGATAAAGCGCTATCAGTTTAGCATATTTGTTAAAGACACTGAGGAAATCTTGAGTCTTCAGAACAATGAGAGATTTCTTTCAGGCTTCTGATTTCCTTTTTTGTTTACTTGTAAAGGTGACACATTAAGGGTGTTGCAGTTCTCAAACCTCGATTTTCAAACCACATATATATGTTCATACCTCGTGCTTTTTTTAATGTTCGTGTTATTTAGGTGATGGGGATAGAGATAGTATTCTGGGTTTTACTAAATCATCTTCAAGATCACCTTAAAAAAACGTAGGAACATTAACTTTATATATAATCTTAAATAGATAATGAAGACCAGTCTACACAAAGCTGACAATTGTTATGAATATACTATTAGTTAAAGGTGGGGTATGTAATTGATTTCAGAATCACTTTTTGTTATATTCCATGGAATGCTCTTAACATCCCGATAGCAATGAATATATTAAATGCTTTGACAATAAATACATAAATAATTTTATCTGTGGGGAACCGTGCGCCTGTCGAAAGCACCGACCGAACTCAATCTGAGCCGGCCCGCGCCCTACAATAACTGGAATGGCCTCAGGCCCTGCTGTCAGCCTTCCATTCTGTGCAACAAACTTACTCTCGTGCCCCTCATTGGTCATGGTGTGCGTTCGTCCGTGCTGTAAGGGAGCCTGGAAGGAACAGGGGGCCAGATTTTTTCTCGGTTGGGTCGGGTATTCTTCCCAAATCTTCTAAGGCGCACCTAGAGCTGGTTTCTGCCAAATGAACATAGCCCACCCTTTACCTACAAATATAATGCACGTCTTCAGAGAGCCTGTTGCATGGTAAAAATAACGAGCACTACCAACCCATTTACCAAACCAAAAACTAAAATCCCCAAATCTGAGGGTAAATCTATTAGAAAGAACAGTATTTAGGGAAGTTTTATCTTCTTATCAGGACCACCTTCACCCCATGAAGCCCCCGGCCCCGCTGTGTTATCTTTAGTTACTGAAATGTGTGTCGATTTCTCAGTAAAATGTTGCTTTTCCGGTCACGCACATGTGGGCGTCCCACAAGGTTCATCCTGGCGTCCCTTCTTTTTTTCTCCATCATCATCCTCCACGGACCGCTGTTAAAAAACCATTTCAAATTGAAGATATTTTATATTATCAGCTCTAATTGGTAGCAAGAGGAGCATACTTACAAGCTTGAATGTTGTAGTATCTTTTCTACCAAAAAACAGCTAAAGTAATCTAAAAAGGACAAAAACATACACTTAATTTACGATCTTTGAATCAGTGGCAAATCTTCTTCGACACCCTTCAAGACACTCCAACATGCGTTAAACTAGGATTTTGTCTATTGCTATCGTTATGCCTCCACCTACCTGTATACTTTTTACGTGCGTCTGGGACATTTAAGTCTTCTATCATCACTTCGACGCCACCAAAGCGCTGAATGTTTTGCCAAGGGCTTTATGATCTTTAATCCATTGGATGTCTTAAAAGCTAGAATAAAAAGGAGAAACTTGGCTCATGTTTTAAACAATCAGTCTGGTTCGTTGATTATTCCCTCCCTCTTCGTCAAATATCATTTACTGACTCCAAACCCAAGATGTGCCGTGGTAGCGCCCTCTAAATAACCTCATTCTTAGCTTTCAGTTTCGTTTGGCTCTCAGCTACATCATACAGCTATATATCCTACAATTGCCAATGTTTGACAAGCAAGGGAGGGAAAAGGTACACCTTCTGTAGGGAGGGTATGCTGTTCGTGCGCTAACAAGACCTAACAAGCCTTTCGATCACACACATAATCCACTTTTTAGTACCCCGTGTTTGAGNTGAGCACAGCGACCACACTTCAGAGGTTCCGCCCACTGATCTCCGACCTTGCCAGGTATTTAACATTCAATAAAATGAAGAATAAAATAATATAAAACACAGAATTTGTGTGATTATACAAAATGAAATGAAATAAACCCCACTGCATATTTACATATGTTACATGTGTGCAGACACTGCTGCTGTGGTGCAGAGTCTGCCCCTACATGCTGCCTCACAGAATAATGTGATGAATAAAATACCATTAAGTCAGACCACAAAGTACAGCGCTATTAACCCCAATGTGTGACTAATGTTCTTAGATGTGCTTTTCTTGAACTGAAGATAAGATTTATGCTTCTGAGAACGGTTTAAGCTTTGTAGTGAGCTCCCTAAATATCCCATAAAAAAATATCGTATTAGTAATCTCACTATCGTTGTTTGAGGATCTAAACTTACCTAATGGGCACCTCTAATATCATAAGATCTTTTTTTCAGAACATTGAATAAGCAAAATACCTTTTAAAGTTGTACATTATTACTGGGCTTTGTCTGCTTCTTTACAATGATCACATGTATCTGTTTTTACTAGTTGTGTATGTTTTTCAAGAGCTTTCATGTAAAACAAACTGACAGCATTTAAGTCTATCCAGGACATTTCAAAATACTATTACTATATTTTTTGTTAGGAAAAGTGGCATACAGTATAGTAGGTCCAATTCCTTGTGAGACACATTTGAACATTTAGTTTTGGGGAGTGTAGCGGCCAAAATCATATAGAAATAAAACAGACAATTAACTTAAAATAATACAGCCGCTGAGGCACTAGTTAGCAGATCTTACGCAGGGCAATGATCCAGGTCCAGACAAGATTCTCCGTTGTACATTTATTATGATCCAATATCATTGACAATGAACAGGTTTCCTATGGTTTGTTCCTTAAGCCTTTCCTAAGGCTTTCCTTTCCTGTGGTTGGAAAACCCTGTGGCTCAAAACACCCTGGTAANGTTGGAGACCCCTGCATTAGAGTGTAAACCAGGGACGTGCACAGACATTTGTTTTTTTCGGGGGGAGGCCCTTTTTCCAGTTTAGAGCAATAGCCCCTCCAAATGTCTGTGCACGTCCCTGGTTTACACTCTAATGCAGGGGTCTCCAACCTTTTTTAGGATGAGAGCTACTTTCAAAAAATAAAACAAGTATTGAGCTACTTTTACTTCTCTTTTTTGAAGTGTATATATTTAGCACATTTTAACATTATACCGTTTTCAGTGTTTACTAAAAGAAAATGTATGCAATTTAATTATTTGAACCTGCTTTATTTTGGGGTGGACCTCACATCCTCTAGGGGGGTCCGGGGGCATCTGTAACTGATGTAAATATGCAGTGGGGTTTATTTAATTTAATTTTGTATAATCACACAAATTCTGTGTTTTATATTATTTTATTCTTCATTTTATTGAATGTTAAATACCTGGCAAGGTCGGAGATCAGTGGGCGGAACCTCTGAAGTGTGGTCGCTGTGCTCAGGAGTTTATTGTTCCCCCTATATATTGTGTCCCTCACGTTTCCTCTGCCCTTTTTGTAAACGTTCCACGTGAGAGGAGTCACTTTGAGGGAAATTGATGTGAAACTGATCGTTTTATCTGTTGTCAGTCATTAAACAGAGATCGTCTCAACTTTGCGATAGCTCAGGTCTCGTCCATTATCAACACAGCGCAGAGACCGCTTAACCACACCGGTTACACACAGACTGGAGATTGTTTGCTAGCCAGGCCTCTCTGGACTCCCACATGGACGTTGAAACATGTGCCTTTTTTTTCTTCTGGACTATATCAACACATGAAGACCACAAAATCACAACCCACAAACAAATCAAGACATTCCCTAACCAGAACCCTTGGACAGAAATGATCAGACCTCTGCAGAAGGCATGCAATGCTGCTTCCAGTTCTCAGAAAGCCGGAGCCATACAGATCTTCCAGGGCCAATCTGAAGAGGGTATCAGGGGGGTCAAACAACAACATAAACAGCTGTATTTTAAGAACAACTCTGACCACAGGCGCATGTGGCAAGGCATACGTTTAAATGATTTTCGTTGCACTGACCCCATCATCACCAAGTGCATGGAAAGACTGGTTCTATTGTTTTTTTGAATATATGTAACTAAAATGTGCCTAAACCACTCCACCTTATCTGTTACTGTTTCACTCATCATACCACCTTGTCTGTAACTTGCCACACATATGCAACAACCTGTATATAGGCTGTAACCCATATATGTCTGTTAGCTGTGACTTCCTCTGTACTTTGTTTACTCTTTGCATGTGCAATGTCAATTACATTGAATCTAATCGAATGTTTCAATAGTGTTTAAAAAAGGCATATGCTGAAATGCTAAAATGCAATCGTTCTTAGTAAAGTAAAGCTGCAATTGGAAAACGGGCTTTTGACAATAGCAAGGCTGAAAAGAAATGAATGATGCATGAACGATCAACAAAGCAGTCCCTTGATTTGGAATCAACCGCAGCTCTGCACTATTGTTCTCACTTTCTATGACACAGAACACACAATTGACACCTTTAATTTGCTCCAGTGCAAATCTTCTGTCCTCTGATGGAGTTTGATGTGAATGCATTAAATTCTCTCTGCTGTCTGTTCCACTTATAATTACACCCACAAGCACACACACAAAACCATGCAGAGCAAAACAGTACACACATACACACAAATCATCCTCGTTTGACCTCATCTGCATGCTGATATCTCCTGGTATTTCAGAACTGCAATTCCTAACCTGTCCAACGGTCATTTAGTTCATAATCTAGAATAGATCAAACATTTTTGTCATACTGACAAAGCCTTTTATTAAATGTCTATTTTGCCTTATTTTGAAGTGCTTGAAAAGAGAAGAAAACATCAGTGCAGCATTAGATGTCTTGCTGTGTTATATTCCAGTGTGTGTGTTTAAGTAGTGGAGGATATCATGTATTGAAGAAGGAAGAAGATTACAGTGCTACCTGCTGAGTATTTCATCACAAGAAATGGCACAGGATTGATTAAAGATAAAGTAGGGTTGGGGCGATGGTGAATGGAAACCATGCTCACCGTAATCTCCACCTGTTCGTCACACACACACACACACACACACACACACACACACACACACACACACACACACACACACACACACACACACACACACCTCTTAGGGCACTGCATGGCCTTAAGAGAGTTATTCAATGACACATGAATAAAAGTACAAAAACACATTTGTTAAGCTATTACCAAGGTCCTCGCTCCAAGAATCTTATAAAGAGGAAAGCCCAGCATCAGAGCCCCCTGCCCTTGCTGTAACCACTTGTCCTCCATGCCATCAAATCTTTGGCAGAAGTGCTTTGTGCAGCATATCTGTTGTTCACCCCGTTTAAAAGGTGGCACAAAGCATCAGCTCTTCAGAGGTCCTGATGACAGAGTTAACAGCTGTTTGGTTTTACCTTGGTGTGGAGCTTCGACAGCTGCTTTTCATCCAGGTGAGTCTGAGTGTAGACACGTCTTTTATAGCGGAACTGAAACACAGCAGGAGCAAACAAAGAGAGCACGTTATATCCTTTGTTTTTGTTGTATGTTTTGACTGTATTACAAA